TTATTAAAATAATCTAAAAATAAATTTATAAAAAATAAAAAATTTTGGTTTTTCTTTTATTGTCAAGTAAAGTTTGATAAATGTTTGATACTTTCTATGCTATTCACATTTTTTATCAAATAATTAAAATAAATATGTATTTTTTCAGAACTTTATATAATTATATTTTATATAAAATTGACTTACCTGATTTTCGGGAAAATAACAAACACCTTTCAAATCCTTGATGATCTTTGATAACTTTAACACATTTCCACCCAGCGAAAATTTCTTTGACTTTTTCTGCCATTTTACTTCCTATTTCTAAAATTATTAAACCATTCTCCTGCAAAATATTAAGTTTCTTTACATATGCATGTTCTAAGGACTCGTATAACAAACGATAAAATTTATATCCACCTTCTTCAGCAAAAAGTGCATTAGATGGCTCGAGAATACGTGGATCATCATTTGAAAGTAGCCTATAAACATCAAGATATGGTGGATTACATACAATAACATCAAAACACATATTATATATTGGTTCATAGTTGTGAAGGTTTGAAAAATCAACATTTTGAAAATCACAATTATTATTGTTGGAAATAAAAGAATTCAAGTGTCTTTCCGCATTTTTACGTGCAATATCGAGAGCAGCAGAATTAATATCTAATCCTAATCCAAAGACATGAGGCAAAGTTGTCGTAATTTGAGATAAAATATAATGTAACACCGAAATAAGTATACATCCTGATCCTGTTCCACAATCTAATATTGAAAACCTATTATAACCGTCTTTTTGACCTTTCCAGAATCCGGAATCCAGTTTGCTAAAATATATGTCTATGACTGCGTGTACTAAATATTCCGTTGATTTCCTAGGAATCATTGTATCCTGGCTAACAAAAAACTTCAATTCAAAAAATTCCTAATAATAATATGGATAACGTGTGAAAAATATATATATATATATATATATATAGTAGATGAATTTGTGTTTAATACCTTTTCTCCAGTAATATATGCCACTGGCTTCATTAGTAAACTATCTGAATCAGAATTATCAGTTATGTCAATTCCATGTCGTTGTAACTCTTCAATAACACCCCTTTTCTTTTGTTCAAAAAACTTTAGTTCGCGTTGTCGTACCGTCTGATTAAATTATTCAAACAATACATCATCAAACGCGTCATTTAATCGTCCTCATAAGAACCAAATACTTTAATTGAAAATTCATTAATTATAAACATCATTCTAATTGCAAATTACTTTACCTCGAACTTTTCTGGCTCATCGATATATACTTTCACTTCTTCACCAGTTACAGGATGACTGAAAACAACTTCCAATAAAGCCATCATTATACTTTTATCTTTGTATGATTTTAATTCTTTGGAACAAGAATTAGAACCAACGATAGGATGACATACTTGAACAAAATATTCTCGTATACCAGCGCTTGAAATTGTAGTTGAATTATTCAAAACAACGTCCAACGTTGTGAGATACTTTTCTTCACCAGATGTACTACGAGTGAAGTCGATATGTTGTAATGCGAAAGGTGGTGCGTGTTTATGGAAAAATGTTTTTTCATCCAAAGAAGGAAATTTACCATGACAAAGAATTCGATACCTTTGTTGGATGACACCACTTTTCAGTAATGTCATAAGTTTAGTTTTTATCTCATTAATCTTGGAGACAATAATCTTCAAACATAAAAAAGGGTAATTTAAGATTTAAAAGTTATATTAAGATATTTAATTATTGTAAGAAACTTACCAAACCATTGACTGCTCTTTGTATTTTATTAATGCAAGTATATTCTTTCCCTTCTTTAACAAGTCCACTCCCACCATCCAAAACGAACGGCAAACTTTCTTGTAAGTCCCGCATAGGCACACCTGCTTTCTTACAAATGATAGCTAAGTGTTCATCCTCTAGAATTACTACAACAGGAAATTTTAATCTATCTCTTTCCAAAGCGAGTTTATTAATTTGTAAACGTATTATATCGTCTTTACAGAGTACGCGTGCACTTTCAGCGGTCTTTCCATTAACAAAGATCTCGCCTCGTTTGAAGCATTCCCTGCAAAGTTTCTTGGAAATAATTACAGATCTGAAATTTTTACAGACAAATTTTTCGAGACGCGTACCAGCTTCATTTTGTTGAATTATGCGTGTCAAGTCATAAATTAAGTCGGAATTTACGGACTCGAAATGCATTTCTATTTCCGATGTTGTCATAATGTCTATCAACAAACTATTTATAAGTATTTTACAGGGGTAAAGAATTCTATTAATACTATTGTCACAATCTTAGGATCAGTTGTAACCTAATCAAGGGTAACATCCTTAATCCATAACCTACAAAATCTTAATAGAGTATCCAACAACGCCGAAAGGAAGTAGTATATTTTTTTTTTTCCTCAACATCTTTTTGAACATATTTTACAATAAAAGAACAATTTTAACATTTTAATAACTCACAAATGTCAAATAATTCGCGTCAAAGCATTTCTGAATCATCCGCTCGTGCTGGTGGGGAGAGTAATAACCTACAATCGCAAAATAATTTAAAACCTGTTCAAGTAAAATTAGTTCTTCTTGGTAAGTTTTTTACCATCGTGCGTCAATTTTAAATGCTTATTAATCCAACTGGTTGTTAAATATCCATATAGCTTTTCATCACGAGACATTAGACTTCTTTTTTTTATAGAAATACTTTAGGAAATGATAGAAATTAATATACCTTCTATATATTTTGTAATTTTGAACTTTATATAGGCGAAGCTGCCGTAGGCAAATCTAGCCTGGTACTCAGATTCGTCAATAACGACTTCCAAGAAAATAAAGAACCAACCATTGGTGGTAAGTGGAATTTTGTTGATCCCATAATATATATTGCTATTCAAAATAAATTATTTCTTTCGAAATAACATTGTTTAATTTATAAAATTATTCAGCGGCCTTCTTAACGCAAAAATGTCGTTTGGAAGACAAAGTAATTAAATTTGAGATTTGGGATACAGCTGGTCAAGAGAGATTTCATTCTTTGGCTCCAATGTATTATCGAAATGCTCAGGCAGCTGTCGTTGTCTATGATGTCACAAAATCTGTAAGTTTTAGTATATGTATTTATCCCTTTGAGTTAATATGAATTTAAATACCAAAATTGGACTAATTCTCAATAAATGAAATTGGTGAATGGCTTCAATTAGCAATCGCTTGAAAAAGCTAAATCTTGGGTAAAAGAGCTTCAACGTCAGGCAAATCCTAATATTGTCATTGCTCTTGCAGGTAACAAAATAGATCTTGTTCAACCCGAAGAAGGCGAAGAAGAATCTCCAGAAAGTGGGAGACAAGTTCCTACTGATGAAGCTAAAGCCTATGCTGCCGAAGCAGGCTTGCTATTTTTTGAGACTTCGGCAAAGAAAGGTGATGGTGTTCGGGACGTTTTCACGGAAATCGGTATGAATACTTGCCAAATTTGATTGTATTATATTATATGAAATCAATCAATAAATAATGACTAATGATATATTTCACAGCTAAAAAAATTCCGCTTGAGCTCATGATGTCCCCTCGCCCACGTCAAATTGTTAACGGAGGACCAAGTCCACTTCCTGGTCTACCAAGGGTGAATGGGCAAAATCCTGGTCAAAGTTCTGGATGTTCTTGTTAATTTTACTTTTTCGTACATATGATATCGATTTTTATAGATTATTTTGATCGTATAAAATTACGCGAATACTCTTAATAGAATCTCTCGCATAACGAATAATCTTTATGAAGAATAACTTTTTTTAATGGAACAAGAAAGTTTTGAAACATATTTGATTTATATGCATTAAGCGGATATAATTTACATTACTATTACAATTTTATTCATATCGTTCTTTATATATTTGTTTGTGACAAGAATAATATTATTTGTTGGGATCTTTTTCATTATATAATTTTGGAGAAGGGCTTTTGGACGATTTTAATGGATGCGGGAACGCGTCATCTTTTTATCGCTTTTATATATAACAAACATTGAAGAAAAGAAGTAAATTTAGTAGGTTAGATATTTATTTGCTTCTTTTTTTTGATTTCTTACATTTTACTTTTTTTTTTTTTTTTTATATACTACTATAAATTTTATTCAATTATTTTTATATGCAGTCTTTATATAAGCCCTTTTGGAAAAATAATAATTTTCTTTTTTCTTATGGGGACAATTTATAAATTTCATAAATTTTTGTATAACAGCTAAGATTTTTTTCCCTCGTTTTCTTTCCATTAAAATATTTCTTACAACCTCCTTATGTATGAAAAGGTGTAAATAAAAAAAAAAAAAAAGAGATCTTTTTGGTTTATATTTATCTTTAATAACTACTACAAAACAAATTTTTCTTGGAAATAATACAAAATTTTATTAAAAAAAAAGATTACGTAATCAGTGATCATTTATTTATAACAAAAGCTCAAAACTGCAAGCAGTTCTGCAAGCCACATTAGTTATTGATATGATACTTATGATGCTGTGTATGGAATAGCACCAAAAAGATTTGCGACACAAAACTATGGTAACTCGGAAAATCAAATCTTATAGAAAATATATTTCATATGAGTGATATATTAGAATTGGCTGAATAATAGGTCAAACGCCATATTAGATACAATATGAATAAAAATGTATTATATCTTGGAAATAGAACAATGGATGGATGTAAGCATGTAAATTTATTTTGTTGTTTGAAACCATTTTTGATAAAAAATGCTTATTTATAAATTTGAATGACATTCTGCAGAAATCTTTTGGGAATCATGGGATTTACCCTAGTTTGAAAAATTCAATCCCAATTGGATCGTCCGGGATCCAATCCAAATTTAATATATTTGTTATGCAGTGCAGAAACTAAAATTAATAAAGATCTGCAGACTTTCTGTTTCGCGTTTTTTTACCCGCAGTATAAAATCGCGTAAAGGATACTTTGCTATTTGCTATTGGTATATTAAAGTTCAGATTTTTGATCGCAATGTCCACCTCAAAATCTTCCATACTTAAGGATATCGTAAATAAGAACTTACAAACAATGTTTGATATGTTAAAGACGCGTCCTAATAGAACAAACCGTTTCTCGGAACAAACACAAAATGAAACTACTGTACTTGACACTAAATTTCGGAATTTGGCAAATGAAACTTTATCCGCAATTTATGAGTTGGAAAAGGTCGAAAAATCAAAAGTTGTGCAACTAAAAATCGATAAGGCGCTTTTGACTTTGATTACAAGACTTGTTGAATTTGGTTTGGTCAGTAACTTAGTCAATAATTTTTTTAATTATCCTTGAAAATTTCTAATTCCATTGAATATATTTCTCAATGATAGTATACCGACATAATCGAACCGTTACAGAAATTGCGATCAAGACTTTTGATTTATTTTAAACCTACCAATATCTCCGGAATCAAAACGGTAGATTCGAAACAAGCTGTGGTACATTTAGAGCTTTTAATGCGTATAATTTCAAAGGCAATTAATGGCCTTCACGATTCAACAGGTATTTTATTATAATAAACTCTTATTTATAATATAAAAATTCATCAAATTTTTTTTTTATCTAAAAAAATATATATTATATATATATTATTTTATGATTTTTAGTGGAGGACATACTGAGTACATTTTTGAAATTATGTTCCTTTTACATGCATTCATTTATTTTGACTGCGCGATTCGATTTATCTAAATTTTTCGATACCAGTTTATGGTTTGCTCTTAATTTTGAGAGAAAATGTAAAAATGGTAGTTAATGAAATAGTAATTTTTATTATTTTTTTTTTTTTAAAAAAAAAATCAACGAAATTCATTATTTCTAATTAAGTATATATGAAATTCAGTACGATCTGCTTTAGTATTTCAAGAATTGAACGCGTTTTATGATGAAATGTTGATATTAGTGGAGAAATATATTTATAATGTTACCGAAAATCCAAAATTCTTGATTTGGCGTAATCATTATTCATATGTTGCTCGAAAGGTAAAAGATTTAATTTTTGATAAAGAATCGTTATCTTTTCTACTACTTCTAATTTTTATGGTTTAAATTGTTAGAGCAACAATTGCAAGAAATCATTAGAGTTTTATGAATCAATTATTAGTTCGTTACAAGAATCATCTCAGTATAAACATTCAGCACAAGATTTAGGAAACTTGTTACAAATCGCAGATTTAAGGATTGAAATTGCACACTTTGCATTACAAAATCTAATATGCACCAAACAAAGTATTTCACCCATCTTGTCTTTAAAATATATGTATATATATATGTATGTCATTTTTTATATTTAATTTATTAATTTTCATAATAGCAAAAGATACGATAAAACGAATTAAAGAGGCGCAATTTGTTTTTAATGAACTATCAAAAAGTAATCTAATGGAAAAGCTGTCCAAAAAAGCAATCAGTGCACTTTCACAGCTTTTCAAGGTGGTTGAATTGATTCGAGAACCAATTATAAAAATAGTGGAATTCATAGCATCACAAGAGTTTAATGAAGAGAGCGTTTGTACTTGTCTTAAAGATTTGATTCAAGCTATTTCCATCTGTTTTAACTTGATTTGTGAAAATTATTTTGTTGAGTACAAGGTATGAAAGTATAATCGACTAATTATTTTAGGAACTGTATTAACTAATCTTTTTATACTATTATTTAAAGTCTCATTATTTGCGAGAAAAGGATTCAACTTATTTAAATCCGGAAAACATTGTGAAAATTATTATTGATATATATGATGTCCTTTCCCAATTAGAATTTAATTTATATCAGCAGAATGGTTATAAGAACTGCATGTCTTACATCGATCAAGCATACAAGATTGTTCAGCATACGTCATGTAGAGAAGGGCTTCATTCTATTTTAAGAGCGTATTGTCGCATTGGCAATTTTTATTATAAATCGGGTGAATATAAGGTTTGTGGTTGTTTATGTAAATATATGAAGTGTTATATAATTAGGATTGGAATTAACGTTAACAAAAAAAAAAATGTTTTATTTTAAAAGAAAGCTACCAAAGCTTTTGAAAAATCTCTAAGATATATTCCTCAACGAGATTTTCTTCAATTCTCGAAATTGGTTTCTTCACAAACAGTTTTATCCGCTTCTCAAAAACTGCCATTAATTCCTAACATAATTGATCGGTATATCAATTCAACTTATATTAATTGTCCAGATGGCGAATTCACCTCAATTCAAGATATTTTCTTGGATGCAGGATGTAATTTGATCGATTCTGCAGGGCTGTTAGAATACGAGTTGCGCGTATTAAAGGAGCGTATATTAACCTCGCGTAATATTCAATTCGATTTCTTAAATGTGGAAAAGTCATTAATTGATACTTTGTTGTCTTGTTATCTTCCTGAGGAATTTCCTATTCGGCGTGCTAGGTCAGTCAATGAAATTATTACAATAAATTGTTTCAGGTTTTTTAATTTATGTTAATCATGAATTTTATGTAAATTAAATAGGATACTAATTGAAAAAGTTAAGATTATGATATGCATAGAAAGTGATTCAGGTCAAGGTTCTGCATTAAAATTTATCGAGGGAGCAATTGATTTATTAAAAACCGATGTATTGTTTATTTTCAATTTCTTCGACTTTTTAAACTTTTTCACCCTTGAATAATAAGAAAAATTACCTTAATTATAGAATTTTGGCAAGGACAATAATCTTGGACATCTTTGTTCTTATTACTTGGCGGCCGCTTATTCTTTGACTGGTATTCTTACACTTGATTCGGAGAATCTCTCAAACGATTCGTTTGAAAGTGCGTTTATCATATGGGATGGTATTTTAAAAAATATTCCTCCTTATAAACTTGGATGCACCATTAAGCATAAACATATAGAAATCGCCAAGGAAAAAATTGATGAAATTGAAAGATTATATGGTCAACTTCGTATCCTTAATACAATTACAAAATTTTTTATAATCAATTAATGTTTATAATCATATAATTCTTGACAACAATTTTAATAATTTAAGAATTGCTTGTGGATTTTTTTGGGGTCACAAATCAACCAAGTAACAAAATCAAAACACTGAATATAATGTTAAGTTTAAATAATGGAATTAGAGATACAACTGACAAATATTCGGGTTAGTTAATTAATTGGATAAATTATTTATTAAAAGAAAGTTTGAATTATTAAATTGTTTGAAATTTTAAACTTAGATTCGGTAATTTTATATGCACAGATTGGTCAAATGTATTTAAACCTTGGATATACTGGTAGAGCTGGAATGGCTTTTGAAAGAGCTAAAGATATCCTTGATTCCAATACTTGTTTGAATGAAGCAAGACTGTCGTGGATGCTGGGATATAGCCACTATTTATGTGCAATTGGTTATATGGATAAAAGGTAAATAGTCATTTTATATATATTTTATTTTATTTAAGTTATATTCATTTTATTGAATATTAATTTCCATTCTTTTAGCGTTTCATTTTTTGATCAGACGATTTTGGTGGCAAATAACAGAAATGCTCAAAAGAATCCTGTGGTCGCAGCTAGATTGTCTAGGCAACGAAAGAATGAGCAAATGTTGCTCGTGGACGCTTCTTACACGAGATCTCGTATTTTAATACGTTTAGTAAGTAATTATATAATTTCTTCTGTTTATTTTGAATTAGATTATCATTTTTAATTTATTTCCTACTATAGGGCCGTTTAGAAAATGCCATAAGTGACGTCACACAAGCAATTCACTTACTTAACAGAATGATGAGAAATGTTAATCTTAATGGAAAACACCATTATCATGATAAAGTGAACGCAGAAGTTAATCCTTTTCTTGTTGAAAATAACGTGACTAATAAATGTTCAACTGGGATAAATGGGGAATTTTTTGGTGGTTTTTTAAATTTAACCGCACAAAGATGGAAATGGCGTGTTTTACAAGTATTATGTGCTAGCATTTAATTAATTTATTGAATATACAACATTTAAATATCAACCACTGTTTATTCTTATTTTCACAGATGCTTTTTGAATGTAATCATCATCTAGGTCAATTACATATTTTACGAGGAAGCGCGAAAGAGGCTGATTACTGTTTTCAACAAGCATTTGAATTAATTCAATCAACTAAAGCGAAAACGAACATGAGTCGTGTTTTACTAAATTTTGCCGAATTGGAATTCCGAAGGCATTGTTGGAAAGAAAGCGAAGAAAAGATCAACCAAGTCATTGAATACCAACGAAAAGTTTGTAATATGAAAAGTTGATTATCTCTTTGAACCATTCTACGTTTATTTTATTATGTTTATTCTTTTTCATCAAAGGCTGTCATCTTTCGAAAAGAAGAAGTTCTTGCCAAATTATGCTTTGGTGACTTCAAATTTCGAGAGGGGGATTTCAAATTTAGGCAAGGTGATTTCGATAATCAAAAACGGTGTTATGAATTTGCATTGGAATATTATAGTAAGGCTGTTGATATTTTGACCAATATTATGAAAGAGGAATACATTTCTAAAATCGAACATCTAGACACAAGGTTTCATAACATTTTTGTTATTTAAAATTTTCTGATTAAATTTGACATATATAAATTTTCGGCTTATTTAAATTATAGTGTATTACAAACACCAAGAAGCAAGAAATTTGTTTCATACTCTGACACACCAAAGGATAAATTTACAGGGAAAGGTAACTGTTTGATTTTTAATGAGATTGAAGATTGAATATAATTGATTCATAAATTTTAATAAATAATAAACGAATAGCCGATTATGAATGCTGTTTACTTGCATATCTGAAAAGTGAATTGTTCCGTCGTCAAGGTTTGTTCAATATATAATTTTTGAGATATTCATAATTAAATATCTTATATAAAGTACAAAAACATGGTTTTTAGGATTGATTTTAAGCAAACGAGGTAAAATTGAAGAAGGACTTAGGTTGATCGAGCATGAAAAGTTAATGAACCAATCATGCCTCGAAAAGGTTAGATACTTTAGAACAATGAATATTGTCTACAACTAGTTAAATATATTATATGACTAGAATTTGCTTTTTTTTACAGGCTGAACATCTACTTATTTTGAGCAAAGTTAAATTGTTGGAGATTACCGCCAAACTAACGAATCAGAATCACTTGTTATATGAAAATGTTCTTGACTCTGGTATTTTATTTATTTTATTTTGCATTATAATTTGTGTAGTATAATCTGAATCTATTGTGAAATATTCTGCACAGTACTTTCGTTACCAATGATGAATGTTCAAAAAAAGTCGTGTATAGTTAAACAATCCATGACCTTAACAACGTCAGTGATAATCGAAGAAATCGACAAGACACTTGAATACTTGATGGAAGTTTACGATTTGGCATATGAGTGTGGGCCAACGCATTTGTTACAAGAAACTTCTCTATGCATATCTACGGTAACTATGATCAAAGCTTACGGGCAAAGCCAATTAAATATTGATCAAAGCGAGATGGCTACCATTTGTGCCTTTTATTTGGGTAAAAAAATATTTATTTATTTAAGTTTTTTGATTTAAATTTAGTAAATGTAACTTAAATTTTCGGTATTTAGAGATGACAAAAGCACTTACAGCGAAGAGAGAATTCTATACTGCATTGAACGAGAAATGTAAAGATCCTTTTTTGTGTTTTGACAATCAGTGGCCACAAAAAATTTCTACATTACCATCCGAGTCTGATATTTTGCAGAATGAAGATGAATATCAGTTATATGATGATGAAACTGTATCACGTCGAAACTTTTTAACGGCGCTAACACAACGATATAAAAATGAACCTATCTTGACTTATAATGAGTTTCAAAAAGAATTTTTGGATATTTTGCCTCCTAATTGGACGGTTTGCTCAGTTTCTGTTGACATTGAAACAAATAATATGTACATTTGTCGATATCAACGGAAAATGACTCCACTTCTGCTTCGATTACCATTGAAACGTCAATCAAGCAGGGACGGAGAAAGTGATGTGTTTAGTTATAAAGAGGCAATTCGAGAATTTAATGCTATTTTGGATTTATGTAATCAAATCATGAGTAATCCTTCAACATCAAAAGAATGGTGGAAAACAAGGAAGGGATTGGATGTACGACTAAAACATTTGCTGTACAATATAGAGAATTTGTGGCTTGGTGGTTTCAAGGTAAATTTCGAATTAACGTATTTGAAAGCTTTATGAAGATGTTAGTTAATAAATTGATCTTTTTATTAGGGGATATTAATGGCAGATAAACAACAATCTTCCAATCGGATATTAAAATTTAAAGAAAAGATAGATAGCTTATTATTCAAGTGTGAAAGTGGAAAATCATCTAGAAAGCGTTCAAAAGTTAAGAAGCTTGATATTGAAATAGAGCTTTGCAAATCATTTCTTCGACTGGGTTCAGATGCACAAGATCAAGATATTGAGGATATTCTTTATTTCCTAGTTGATGCGTATAATAAATATAATGATCAACAGGTTGGATATGACGAAATTGACTTGGATCAGGTTTGTTATATTTTTGACTATAAATAATGAGTAGTTTTGCACTAGTTTAGGAGTTTGTATATTTAGTGTTACATTTGATCTTAAACTGCGTATTGAAAACAACTAGTTACTTAACGTTACGCTCTCTCTCACGTTTTTAAATCTTTAAAGCTTATTATTGATGTTCAAGACGCGTTATCTTGTGATGATACTATGAGCTCCAATGTTGATGACCAACATGTTATTTTAATTCTTGATAAATATGTACAAATGTTACCATGGGAAAGTCTACCATGTTTACGATCACAAGCTGTTTCTAGATTACCATCTCTTTCATTTTTGAGAGACAGAATTATGTTAACAAATCATGTTAATAACAAGCAAGACAATAAACCAGGATGGTTGGACTATGTCATTGATCAGCATAAATCATTTTATGTTCTTAATCCAAGTCAAGACCTGAAACATACACAAAATGAATTTGAAGGTTTTGTAAAAAAGTATGTATCTTTAAAAATTGGTATTTATTTTATATCTTTAGGAAAACATGAAATAATCTTTTTAAAAAGCATTAAAGGTTCAGATGGAATTACTGGACGAATTCCTACCGATCAAGAATGGATAGATGGTCTTGTAAATAAAGATCTTTTCATGTAAGCAAAACGATCATTCTTTATTTGCGTGTATATAAATATATCTATCTAAAACAACATTATTTGACATTATCATTAAGGTATTTTGGACATGGCGCTGGTGAAGCATATTGTAAGAAAAATAAGCTTAGACATTTGGATCGTTGTGCTGTAACACTTCTATTCGGTTGTAGTAGTGGACAATTAAAATTAGGAGGAGAATTTGATCCTTCTGGTATCATTTTAAGTTATTTATTAGCTGGAAGGTAAGTTTAAAATAAAAATCATGAATATATTATAATAGGTTTCAAAGATACTAATAAATTTTATTATGATAGCCCGGCAATTGTTGCAAATTTATGGGATGTCACTGATGTGGATTTTGATCGATTTAGTAAATCTCTGTTTCGGAATTGGGGATTAAATCCTAATGGAGAAACCACAACATCAAAAAAAAAGGTATCATTGGTCCAAGCTGTTACAATTGCAAGGAATGCTTGTAAATTAAAATATCTAATTGGTTCAGCTCCGGTGGTATATGGTATACCATGTTATTTACAGAGCAAATAATTTGTTGATTTAAGCTTTACAAAAAAAAAAGGATTCCCGATGAATAAACTTTGAAATTTTTTATTTTACAAAATATGAAAATATATATTTATTTATATATATGCAAATTTGTTTTTTTTTTAATGTAACAAAAAAGTAAAAATTCTAATAAATCCTTTTTATTAAAGAATTTAATGTTAAAATTTATTTTGACCAATAAAATTTGCAATTAAAAATGTAATCATTTTTGATCATAAAAATAAATGATAATTGCAAATTTTACAAATTATCAATATCTTTTAAGTTTGATAATTTTAATAAAAGCTATATTTTTTGAATTGTTTTTGCTACTTATCTTCAACGGATTTATTATATAAATTAATTTTTATTTATTTAAGAAACTTATTAACCTAATTTTTATATTAAAATTTCTTTTCTGATAAATTATATTTATTTATCTTCTTCAAGTATTTCTCTATCTTCATTTTATATTATAGTTTATTATTTTGTTAAATTGTTATTTTTCTATTATTTTTATATCATTATTATCTTCATAAGTTATTAAATTAACATTTAATATGTAGTTCAGTTATAATTATTTATTTATCTTCTTAATTTTTCTAAATAAATTTATTTTCAAAATTTTTATTTTGATATTATTTTATATTTTATATTAAAATATAAGTATTTGTTTATTAATATTTTTATTTATAATTTCTATTATTTTCTTTTATAATTTTTGTTAATTCTATTATTTTATTTTGTAATTTTTATTATATTATTTATAATTTCTATTTATCATTCTATTAATAGTTTTTTAATAATTTCTAAAATTTCTATTATAGATTTACTATTATATCTAATATTTCTTTTCCATTATTTCTAATATTTCAATTATTTTCTTTTTGAGTTTTTGATTATTTTTTAATATATTTATTAATTATGATATTTTTATTATTTCTCTTCTAAGATTTTTATCAGAATTTCAATTTATAAGTTTAAAAAAAAATAGATAAATATGATCAATTTTTTATTCATTAAAAATATTTTTAATTTGAAAATACAGTATATACAAATTAATTGCTATTTCTTAAATTGTAAAACAGGCAAATTTGTCTACGAACATAAAAAAAAGTATTAATATTTTAATGAAATATAAAATATTAATGTTAATAATATAAATATTATATAAAAAATATAGTTTAGTATATATTTTATTATTTTTATTAGAAATGTTTTAAGTTTATTAAAAAGATTTTTAAATAATTCAATTTTTAAAATTAAGTTTAAAAAATTTATTATAATAATTTTTTAAAAAATTTTTAAAATTTATATATTTGTAAACTAATTGAATCACTTTACTATTAATAAAAATCATAAAATTTCTTAGTAATTAAAGTTATTCTTCATAATAAATTTTATAATATTCTGTTATGATTAATATTATTAAAAGTAAATATTAATAAGATTATCAAAGGTTATTGATAAAATTTTTAAAAATTACAAATTTTTAGCTTATAAGCAACCTTAAATTATTTATTATATAATCAAAAATAAAAATTACTATAATATTATATATATATTTTTATTAAATTCATTTAAAAAAATTTTTTTTTAAAAATTTTGATTTTTTATAAAAGTAAATCAAAAGGAAATTTATAGTAAATAAATAGGTAAATTTGCTTATAAAATCTTATAGTTTAAAGAATAACAAATATTACAATTAATCTTTTAAATAGACTATCATTAATTTATTGATATCAAATAGACTAATAGCTTTGTTATTAAGAAGTGTTTTGAATATAGTAATTCATTTATTAAAATAAGTGATTATAATAAATTTTCATATTATTTGTCATTAAAATATTCTTTAAAATAATAATAAACCTTTTATCTATAAGACATAAGGTGGGCAATAGTTAAAAATAAAGTAATTTTTAAAAGTATTTAATAATAGCATTTTTAATTTTATCAAGATTAACTATGAATCTTCAATCATTATTATTAGAAGTTTTAATAAGTAATTATCTATAATAATTATAAGTTTATTTTTATTAAGAATAAAGTCAATCATTTATGATGTATATTTAATAAATTTTGATCATTTATCTGATTAAATTAGAGATTTGTTTTTTATTTTAGAAAAATTTAGATTTAGTTTATAATTGATCATTTGGATTCATAAAGATAGCAAAAACTATTTTATAATTAGATTTATATATATTAGTTAAGGATCTTAAAAAATATGTATAATATTGGAATCCAATTTTGTATAAAGTTACTATATTATTTTTAGAAATGAATAGTCATATTTGCATAATCTATTTAATCAATAAATTTAGGAATTAGATATATATTTGTATAATAAAACCAGTTTTTTAAAGCAAGTTAGATCTTAATTTGTATAAAATATTATAACTAATATTTAAAGTTTTGAATAGTTCAGATTAATCTAAAAATTTTCAGTTCAAATTGACTTTAGTTCAAAATAAAAATATTATTCTAAATGAATGATAAAAGAATCATTCAATTAGAATGATAAAAATATCATTTTAAAAAAAATGATATAGCATCAAGAT